TTTAGGTTTCCATTTAGGGGTTCAGTTGTGTAAGGGAGATCTGGGCTGGAACAACACACGGCAGGTGTGTATATGTGTGTGTGGTGTGTGAGGGGTGCCCAATACCAGGATTATGAATATATAATCTTGAATACATATGGAAAACAAACAAGACCTAAATATGTAAAGCTAACCTCCAGCTTGAGTTCAATCTTCCTAGCTCAGTTTATAGGACATGTATCCAGGAAGAGCCATAAAATACAGAAAAACTGCACAATTCTTTTGAATTAGGTTGTAACTTGGGTGGGTTTCCTCCAAGTGACCATGTTTCCCTCCCACTGTCCAAAGACAGTTAACTTACTTTTGGGAAAACTGGGCTTTGTGTCTGCCCTGCGATGGACTGGTGTCTCGTCCCGCCTTGCGTCCTCTGCTTTCGGGGATAGACTCCAGCTTCACCGCAAAGGTTTAAATAAAAACCTTCACATTTACGGAAAGCACGTAAAATTGTGCTATATTAAATTGACACCGATGTCCTTTAACCCTGGGCTTGTTTTCAAGTGCACATGTAAACGTTTTCTTAATTAAAAAAGCCCGTTTCTCCCCGCGTGACGGACTGTACGCATGCGCGCTAGCTACGCGCTGTGTCCAAGAAGAGCTCATGAGAAGCTGCACGTGAAGTTGGCCGATTTTCAAGATTTGACTCTTGACGCAGTAAGCAATAGACGTAAGTAATGGAAATAAAATTAATAAGATAAAGTTGGCTCACCACGTATTCTTTTCAGTAAATGTCATTGGAGCAGGAGCTGTTTAACAAGCTGTGTATTCAAATACAAGTGTCAAACCCTAAAAAGCACAACGGTATATGTTGGGTTTCATCCTCAACAGAAAACGGCGTCGTTTTTAATACGCTTAATCAGTCTTACAGTGCTTATCAGTCGGGTTTCACTGTTTCCCCACAAACATAATGGAAGAGACCTTTGAACTGTCTTCACCCTCAGGGAAATTCTAACTGACATTGCATGGAGGGGCATTT